AATTCCCACAGGGGATGCATCGAGACGTAACATTTTCATTTAAGTACGTGCCTCAGTAGTCACATTCATTCAAAGTTTCAGCTTTCCATGTTCATCAGTTTAATTACTGCAAAAACAGTTATTTATAAATATCTCACTTTGAAATTTTCCCCTGGGACTTCTTCTAAAGTTTGAAGTTTTCTGCAGCAACCCAATAGGTAGTAACATACTAAGATTCATTTTTCCACTCCGCTTAAAACGCCAGAACAAAAAAAACACTTGAAAACGTCGGCTCACAAAAATATGCCCCCAGGGCATGAATCTTACATTTTGCATTTTTCCTGAACACATCGTCTCATTAGGCACGTCCATGCCAAGTTTTAGTTTTCCATGTATTTCCGTTTCTACTCAACCAAAAATGATATTATGGAGGGGGATTGAGTAACAGGACATGGAAGGCAAAATAATGAAACAAAGGCCAAGGTGTGGCCGGGGAATTGAACCTGGACCGTCTGATTCCGTGGATTTTTTCTGAACTCGGCCTCCGAAAAGGTAGATGTGTACCAATTTCAGATTTCTAGCCCTTCTAGAACATGGTTAGAATTAGCGTCAGTCACCATCGTCTATATATATTAGAAAAGTATCAGTGAAAATATATATATGGAAAAGCCAAAGCCCCCAAAAGCTATGCCAGGAGGGGATGCACCATGGAAGCTGAAGACTCCCTCAACTCAAAAATATCATGTCACTTGTGCGTGTGCCAAGTTTCATCTTCCATTTCTGTCCAATTCCCAGTGACAATTTCTTTTTAAGCATCAACCCCTCAAAAAAATTCTTCCGGGGATGTATCCAGACTTAACATTTTTCTAAACTCCTTGTCTAAGTAGTCACATTCATGCAAAGTTTCAGCTTTCCATGTCCATCAGTTTAACCGATGCAAAAAAGTTCGTGGAAAACATCTCCTTTTCAAATTTGTGCCCCAAGTGCATTTACTTCTAAAGTCTGGGGTTTCCTGCAGCATCCCAATATGTAGCTATGTACCAAGTTTCGGTTTTCCACAATAGTTCAAAGCGCAAGGACAATAAAATACTTTAAAACGTGGGCTCACAAAAATATGCCCCCTGGGCATGGATAGGAAATATTGCATTTTCCTCAAACTCATCGTTTATGTAGGCACATCCATGCCAAGTTTCAGATTTCCATGTCTCTCCGTTTTACTCAAGCAAAAATAATGTTATGGAGGGGAAGGAGTAACTGGACATGGAAGCCAAACACCGGTCAGATATGCTATCGCTACACCACCATCCCCATCACTATCAGTTAGCTTTCTGAATGCCATCCTCATCTGTCACAAAATATATTGAAGAAAAACGTTTCCCCCCAAAACTTGTACCCTCAGGGCATGTACATCCAAAGTCGGATTTTTTTCTGAACACTGCATCCCAAGAGGTACCTGTGTACCAAGATTCAGATTTCTAAAACTTCTAGAACATGGTTAGAATTAGTTTCAGTCAGTTAGTCAGGATCGTCTATATATATTAGATAGCGGATTTGTTTGTCCTTCGGGGAATAAAAAACTCGCTATAAACGCTCCTTCGGCGCTCTGCTATCTAAGGCATCCGTTTTCGCTGCGCACCCCTACTAATGCGGTCAAACTCCTTTGTTCATGGGTTCAATTCTCGCACCTTTAAAGTAAAGGTGTCAAATAATATATTCTTAATGACGCTATGTCATTTGTAGCATGAGGATCACCAATTATCAAGTTTGTGTCGTTTAGACTTCTATTGGTGTATGCAATTCCTATCCATGGTCGAAGCACTCTTGATAGCATATCAATCTCCAAAAAAAGTAAGAGTAATAGCAGCCATATAACAACAGAAGATACTTGAGACTTTTAACACTAGGATGGCTAATACTAAAGATCATTGTAGGCCTGAGCAGTCGTCGAAGAGTTGGACATAAGCTTGTTGAATCATTCTCATCGTGGCAAGTACCACGAATGTCGAACTGTATCTGTGGTATGCAAGCCAACATCTATTTATTTTCCATCCCGTTTCCTTTGTGGAGGAGTGTGCATAAGAGTATTATTGGCCTAAGCGTCCATGCATTGGGTAGGCCGAGACCTGCGAAATTCATCCCCCAACCCCTCCACCAAAACGTGCCCCTAGGCATGGACCCCCAAAGTTGGGCATTCGAAGTTAGACTTTCTCTGGAATCGAGAATCAGTCAGCCACTCACATTCGTTCCGTTTTATTGAAGGCAAGAGGAGCCCGAGAATGGCTTATGCCTAAGCGCCCTTCTGAGTGTTAGACCTAGGCTTACAAAATGAGACCACCTGTAATAAACTTACCCTCAAGGTTGGAATTTTTCTGGAGTCAGCAATCTAACAGCTATATGTTCACCAAGTTTCAGCCTCTCATCGTTTCTAGAACATGGTTAGAATTAGCGTCAGTCAGTCACCATCGTCTATATATATTAGAAGTGGAATTTTTTATTTACGCTGCTATCCGTCAGGAACTTACTTGCCAAGTATTTTTTTAAACTTTCATGTGCCCTCTGATTTGCGGGATCAGAAAAATTCGTAAAAATACGCCTTTTCCAAAATATATGCCCTAAGCCGTTTTAACCGAAAAGTACCTTTTTTTCTTACCGAAATCCATCCTTGGCGAACTACATGCCAACAACGTTTTAATATTATACATTTCCTCTTTTTACTGGGAAAAAATAACATGTTCGGAAATGGCGACCCACCCTGTATGCTCGGAGGGGATGCACCCTGAAAAATGAATACTCCCTCAGCTCAGTAATATCATGTTACTTATACGTGTGCCAAGTTTCACCTTTCCATTTCTGTCCAATTCGGAAAAAATTTTCAGGGGATGTCTCGTGGCTTAACATCTGTTATTTAACTCCTTTTCTCAGTAGTCACATTCATACAAAGTTTCAGCTTTCCATTCTCATCAGTTTAAATAATGCAAAAATTTGAAAATATATACACTTGAAATTTGTACCCCAGAGTATTTCCTTCCAATGTCGAACGTTTTCTGCAGCATCCCGATAGGAAGTTACGTAACAAATTTAATCTTTCCACACCAGCTGAATACGCCAGGACAAAAAAGTATTGAAAACGCCGACTTCTCAAAAGAAGTTGCATGGGCATGGATATAAAATTTTACATTTTTCCTGAAGCATCGTCTCGGTAGGCACATCCATGCCAGGTTTCAGATTTCCATGTCTCTCCGTTATACTCATGGAAAAATAATGCTATTGAAGAGGAATGAGCAGCGGAACATAGAAGGCAAAAAAAGCCAAAGACTGGTAGGGAATTGAACCCAGAGTTTCCAATACCCAGTTAAATATGCTACTACTACACCACCGACTTAAGCACAACAACAGGTTCTCTTATTGCCATCCTCATATGTCACATAACATATTAAAGGAAAACGTGTCCCCCCAAAACTTTGCATTCCCGGGGCATGTACAACCAAAGTCAGACTTTTTCTGAACTCTGCATCCGAAAAAGTTCATCTGTACCAAGTTTCAGATTTCTATCCCTTCTGGAACATGGTTAGAATTAGCGTCAGTCAGTCACCATCGTCTATATATATTAGATGAAAGTAGAATTGTTTCTTCACTCATCTATTCATCAGGTACCTCTTTGTCAAGTTTAAACTTTCTAGCACCCTCCATTTTGTTGGTTCGGAAAATTCACGAAAAATGGCGAAATATGTTCCCTCGGGCGTTTTAACCGAAAATTACCATTTCTACCGAATCAAACCTCACTGAACTAAATGCCGACAAAGTTCCAATATTATACATTTGCCTTTCTCTCTGGTGAAGAATCATGTTCGGAAAAGCCGATGCACCCAAAAGGTAAGCCAGAAGGGGATGAACCATGAATGCTGAATATTCTATCAACTCAATGATTCTAAATCACGTATACGTGTGCCAAGTTTCACCTTTCCATTTTTGTCCGATTTGCGATGACAATAATGTGAAAACATCTCAATTTGAAATTCATGCCCCTAGGGCATTTATTCCAAAGTCTGAATTTTTCTGCATGCAGAATTCCGGTAGGGTATTATGGACCAAGTTTCATCTGTACACACTAGCTCCACACACCAGGCCAAAAAAATACTTGAAAACGTCAACCCTGAAGAATATGCCCCCAGGGCATGGATCTAATGTGTTCCATTTTTCCTGAACTCATAGTTTCGTTAGGCACGTCCATGCCACGTTTCAGCTTTCCATTTCTCTCCGTTTTATTCAAGCAACGGGACATGGACATATACGCGCAGCATATCCTGTGGGATCTTCTCCTATTCCTTCGCGAGGACACGCTTCAGAAATGCGACGTTGTCGTAAGACCTACAGCACACCTTCGTCTCCAGAATGCCCCAGAGGGTTGAGGTCTGGGGAGTATGACGGCCATTTGTCAGCAGTGATCAGGCAGGGAATTTGGTCGCGGCACATGACGAGCATGACGAGCTTTGTGGGACGGCACAGAATCTTGTTGAAAGATCCATTCTCTGCCATGGAAGTGTCTCTCAACCCAAGGCTTTACGACGGCCTGGAGCAAGTCGCGCTTATAGACCTCAACATTGATTTTCACCCCCCGATCAATGAAAATCGATCGCTTTCGCCCATCGGCAGTGATCCCGGCCCAAAGCATCATACCAGCAGCCTTCTGCTTCCGAATCACGATTCGATCACTTGGAGATAGAGTACATGGGTCAGTAGACCAATCCCGATCGTTTTGGCTATTTAAAGCGTGCTCGATGGTGAACAACTAATCAGAAAACAGGACAAGTCGGTGTTTGTTGCCTGCGAGCCGGCGTTTCAGATTTTTGCGTCTGATATCCCTGTTCTTCTTGGCGGTTTCGTTGAGGAAATGCGCTTTCCTCCTCTTGTAAGGATGGGCATTGATATAATTTTTCAAGATGTTCATCGTCGAGGATCTGCTGATTCCGAGCTCAGCTGCTAATTTTCGCGTCGACCTTCGGGGATTGCGACGAATTCGACACCGAACCCTTTTGATGTTGCGGGGGGTTACAGCAGTGCGTGGTCGACCAGATCTCGGTCTGTCATATAGGTTCTAAGTCTCTTGAAACCACGTGACCGTTTTGGAGACCAGCTGCTTTGACACTCTGGACGAGGTAAGTGACCGAACAATGTCACAATTCCGATGACCGACCTGGAGGAGCTCAATTATAGCAGCTCTAATTGCATTCATGCTAATTATCTCATCAGGACTTTTGATGATAATTTGGTTTTCATAACACGTAAGCTTATACGAAAAAACTAGAAATAGTGGCAGTAACACTTTATTTGACTTCATCAGAGCGGGTCAAAAAAAGTCAACAAACTTTTTAACCACCCTATATATATTTAAAAAAAAGTCTCCCCCCAAAATGTGCACCCCAGGGGCACGTACCTCCAAAGTAGGATTTTTTCTGAACTCAGCAACCCAAAAGGGACATGTGTACCAAGTTTCAGATTTCTAACCTTTCTGGAACATGGTTAGAATTCGCGTCAGTCAGTCTTGACACTCTGGACGAGGTAAATGACCGAACAATGTCACAATTCCGATGACCGACCTGATGGAGCTCAATTATGGCAGCTGTAATTGTTTTCATGCTAAAATACAAATTTATATTATCTCATTAGGACATTTGGTGATAATTTGGTTTTCATAACACGTAAGCAGATACAAAAAACTAGAAATAGTGGCAGTAACACTTTATTTGACTTCATCAGAGCGCGTCAAAAAAAGTCAATGAACTTTTTAACCACCCTGTATATGGATATGAATTAGAATGTAAAAAATTGTTTTAAAAGTAACCATGGAAAAAGTAATTACTTAACTTAGCATCCCATTGATAACAGCTATTTTTGAGCAGATTCTATGCTTGTATTTGTCCCAAAATAGTCCCAAATCTGTCCAACAATACCCCTAAATATTTTCTTTGATCCACCTATTGTAGAGTTTCCCCATGAATCATACTTTGGAACCATCTACTCTATCTATCTGTTTTAGCATAAAGTTAGGCTTTTTAGAGTTTTTGTGAACTTGTTTGCCTTTATCTACCAGCTCAAATTTGTTAGATTTGTCTCCAACCAAATTTCTAACCCTGAAACATTTTTCCCATAGAAGACATTCAAATCATCCACATTTATAATATGCAGTTAACCAAATTACCTAACTATGAAGGAGAGGTCACAAGAAAGTGAGACTGGTCTCATATTAACTGGCACAATCTGTAGGCTTGCAACAAAAATACATGTTAATTGATGAAGTAATTAAAAAGTTAATTTGTTTTTTCCTAATGCTACTTCTTTAGTGCTCTCTCATAGATTGGACTACACAGTCTCTTGGACTCCAACGATGCCCTCTACATATGATTACTAATTATATTTTATTTTATTTGTCAGGTAATTAAAAATTAACTCCTTATTTCATTATGTCTGTTGAAATTTTGTTACCTGTGAAGCAGTTCCCATGGGATGTGGGTGTGGTCTAGTCTGTATGTAGTTTAAAATCTCCTCCTATTAAACATTTTTACATGCCATTCATGTATATTGTTGAAGGAAAAGGATCCAGAATTTATCCCTGACTCCAGCAACAACAACTCTCTTTGTGCTCTTGATTCCATCAAACTGAACATACTGACTCCTTTTATCACTTGTTGACCATTTTTTTCCAATGTTAGTGTGGGGTGATGAAGATGGAGAAAGTAGTGGTGTCAGTGATTGAGACCATTGGAGCTTCACTGGCTGGGGAATGGCACAGCAAGGTGGGTGTGCACCCTCTTCCTCCTACTTTGTGTTATGTTTTAAATATGGGTATTTGCATGTTGAAATCTGTTGTGATTTGGTAGATGTATGCTTTGAAGAAGAGTGGAATCTTGGGAACCCTGTGGGAGACCCTGGAAGAGAGGGGTCCTCCTTCAAAGGAAGTCATATCGGCCATCCTCACACTTTCCATTCAGACACAGAAAGGGGACAAGGCACAGGTGAGAACCACACATTGTTTGTCTCTTCACAGAAATGGCCTTGAAGATATTGTCACTTGTTGCCAAGAAGGGTAAGAATTTATCATCGTATGCCAGATAAATTGGTCAGGGCAGTGATATTGTAATTATTTCAAGCATAATTGGAACAGTTTCATTTACAGTCTTGATTACTCTATTAAAAAAGTATCATTTTAAGTCTTTGAACAGTAATCCCTTCATGTATTTTTATTTCTCCTAAAAATTGGGATAAAAGCACAGTATGCTAGTTTTGATGCTTTCTGTATGTTAACATTATGAAGAAATCTGGAAATACCAATTACCTGCCCTTTAATTGGCTGTAGTGACTATCATCAGCCCCCTCTTTGGTGTCATTACATTCAGAGGCTCAGAGATGCAACTCTGAACTTAGTTGAACTTTACTAGCCTGTGGAACCAGCAATGAACCCTACTGGGTTTTATGCCTATTAGCAGCCTTAGAAAATATTCATGCTTTAGTTTCAGTTCTTGAAGATCTGTAGATTTATTTGCCTAGAATCAAAGTCTGATTTTATTTCATGTCTAATTCCCCATTTCCTTTTGCCATGTTAAAACCAACCTTTGCTTCAAAACTCATACCTTATAGAGAGGTATCAATGTGCAATGATATATTTGTCTGCTGGAAATGATCCAGTATATCCTACTTTGATTTTTTCTTCCAGAGTAAAGCCCCAGTTTACCAATATCCTCCTGCTGGTCTAATAAGGCTAAAACAATGTTATAAAGTTTTGGCTGCAGTTCAAATAGCAAAGGGGAAAGAGAATTTAAGGTCTTTAGAAAAGCTTAGAGACTGACTGCATTGACCTCATATTACCAGGGTTACTCAGAAAGTTTCCAGATGTGACCGTCTGATGCCTCCTCTCAGGATGATAATTTTTCTGAGTAAAGGCAATCAGAATAAGCCTATGTAAAGATGTCATCAAAGGGTTCATTGTTGCCTTGAAACAGTCCCATACTTATTTCTACTTTTCATGTTTAGGGATTATTTGATTTCAGGTTGAATTTATCATGTGAACACTTCTGAGAAATGATATTCCATGACTTCAAAAGTGGACTTGACCCAAAGGAGAATCTTGAACACTCATAACAGGCATTTGGAGAGGAAGCGCCATCTCATAGTACAGCATTTGAGTGGTTTGCAGAGTTTTGTAGGGGAAGGGTGACCTCAAAGGATGAGGCTCACTGTGACAGGCTACCAACTGCAGTGACAGATGAAAATTGGGCCATTGCATGGAAGCTGTGTGAGGAAGACAATCAAATTACATATGAAGACTTTCAGGCACAACTTGGGAAGGATCAGCAGCAGTAAATGAGATCCTGCATAGACATCTTGGTCTAAGGAGTGTCACCAGCTGATGAGTCCCTCATAATCTTGCCCAAATTCAAAAGTAGGCTAGGGTGGAATAGTGAAAATTCATGCTCCAGAAGATTGATTCTAGATATTCAAAAGCCATCTATGATGACTTTTGAATCACAAGAGGTGAAACCTGGATATATCGATTTGACCAACAGAAGAAGCACCAATCCAGTCTGGCTCTTCCCATGTGTCCATCCCAGCCAAGGTCAAGTGACCCAGAAGTTCTGGGAGAGCAAATGGTGGCTAATTTCTTCTCTTTCACTGGTCACATAGCCACCATACCTCTTTTTGGGTCAAAAGACTGTGACCTTGAAATGATAAACAGTATTCTACCTCCAAAAAGTGTTTAAATCTCTAAAGAATCAGAGGCACAAGTCATTGTTGAAATCATGGTTGCTCCATTATGACAAGCATCCTGTCACACAGTCACCCTCACTTTGCATTCCTTGCACAAATCTGGCATCAGGGTGCTCCCACACCCACCCTACAGCCCAGACCCAGCCCCATGTGAATTTTTTCTCTTTCCAAGAGTTAAAGAATCACTCCATGGACAAACATTTTCAGTGTACAGAAGAGTTGTTGTTGCACTTATTTTAGTGATTTTGGGTATCCCAACATTTAAATGGAAAAACTGCTTTGAGAAATGGTTCACAAAGATAAGAAATTTCATCAATGCTCAGGGAGATTACTTTGAAGAGGTGCAATATTTGAAAGCCAAGCTTCTGTTGCCTGCATCTGGAAACTTTCTGAGTGACCCTTGTTTTTATCATTGATTAAGGCTTCCTCCCCTTCCACAACATACCTGACAAGGCAAGAATTGAGTAAGGCCTACCTTTGATAGGGTTCTAGATTTGACAAGTGAATATATCAAATTGTCAGTGCAACTGAACTCAAACTATGTGTGTGAAACCTTTAGTTTGTAAAAATGCCTGCTCTACACAATGATGTAAACACCATTGTATATAGTATAGGCTGTGGAACATGTTGTGATGCATGATTGACAAGTCTCTGTCTGCCATGTCAGCAATTTCGGCATCCAATGTGTCATGCTCATGCCCAAGGGATTGCTCATGATCTCATGGACTCTAGTTTTTGGAATGTCCTATTTTTGTCAGCCACACAGTGGACAGAGACTTGTCAATCATGCATCCCAACACATTCCATGGCTTCAACATTTTCATCGGTGGTTGTAGTCAATGAGCAGCCACTTTGGGGTGCATCTTCTAAGCCACATGTTGAGTCCTTGAATTCAGCCACCCACTTTGGGATGGTGTGGTATGATGAAATGGAGTTCTTATAAACACATTCCAGCTCCTTAGTGATTTCAGTGGCATTCAGCCCTTTTGGAATAAAAAAGCTTTATGACAGCTAGATGCTCGATGTGCAACATTTCTGAAATATAGGCAGACATGGTTGTGAAAAATAATTTTTCCAAACAAAGGAAATGATGCAATCAGGCCAAAAAGGGATGAACCATGGTAAAAATGCACAATGGTGTAAACTTAATGTTTCACACATGCAGTTCGAATTCAGTTGCATGGACTTTCCAGACAACCTGATTCTGCACATCCTTTTATGCTTCCCCATAATGATCATAAAACAGTGAACTCCTTTCTTGGATCTTCCTTTAGGTGAGAATCCCAGAGGCACTGATCTTCCTTCTGCGTCATCTGCCTGTGATCAAGGTTGAGGATGACCAGACATACCTGGCCCGAAGTGTCCATCGACTCACATCCACAAATCCCCACAGGCAAATACACATCATTCATCTGAAATGCATATATCCCAGCTGTGTGGATTTTAACAGCATTGGGTATGTTTCAGCGCATGGTGGCTGTGTCGAGCGGGTGGGGTGAAAGTGCTCATCCAATTGTTGAAATCAGAGCACTTACCAGGCAGTACATGTCAGGAATTGCTTCAGCTTCTCACATTCCTAGGGGCCCATTCCATAACTAGTGGAGAACTAAAGCTTCTCTTTCGTCTTCTTCGAGGATCTCATAGTGGCAAGGTGGTAGGTTGATTGTTGTTCAAAATCGCTCCTTCTAGCTTCTTCCAAAAGAGAGGTCAGACAACGATGCATAAACCTTGTTGTTTGTATTGAAAATAAGTGAGTGCATACAAATGAATCCAATCTATTTGAGACATTGCTTTATATGATAGACCATAATCTTTCTAACCATATCATTTGCAAGTTTAGTACTGGCACTCTGCATGCCTTGCTATCAAGGAGGATGAGTGAGCACAATCTGATCATGGTCACAGTGTTCCAATTGTGGGAGTTAAAACTCTTCTACAAAATGGGCATTGATACTTGTGTCAACACTTGTGTTATCAACATACCTAGTTGAACTCATTCAAGAAACTTTGACTATTATACTGGATTGACTAATTGGTTCATACTTTCTGATAATTTGATATGTTGTGATGTAATAAACTTTTCTCCAAAATTTAACCATTCTGTGGTAATGGGTGGGACATCCTAGAACATAGTTGCTTAATAAAAATTTTTTTTTTTCAGTAGCATGCATAGCTGCTTCATGTTGTGCTTTAGTGAAGACAGTTGGAGTGACTCCATGTGCTCACATTTCTTTCTGTGACAGCATTAACTTTAGCACATCTTTAATTCTTGGTAACTGAAAGTGCAAAAAATGGACTGGAAATGAAGAAGCTGAATTGATTCCCAGAGGAGCAAAATTGCAAGAAATCTTTCAGAGAGTTCAGAGAGAGATAATTCATGAGTTCCTTGAGAACTTGGATTTATCTTATGGCTGCATTCAGGCTGCTTTCATCAGGTTCCACTGAGCTGATGTTGATGATCTCCAATTTTGGGTCACCCTTATTAAAAGATCTTGTTTTCTGTTAATCATTTATATCACTTTTGAATGCATTAAAGTTTTTCTGGGGTATGCCACATTTATCAACTTCCATGCAAAATTTGATGCCACCCCAATTTTTAATATGGTTATAGAAAGCCTTTATTCTATTTTGCAAAGTGTCAAAGGATCCATTTAAATATATTGTTAGAGAACTCAAACTAAAACCAATAAGAAAGAAATTTCACCCATGCACTTCCCAGGATCTAAATTAAGGTACTTATGAAAAGTGACATTTGTATATCAAAGAATATAAGAGTAACAAAAAATAGTCTCTTCTGCAAAGTGTAAACTTACCTTTAGATCAGGTTCCTTGAGAGAGAAGGTTATTTATGCAGGTTCTTGATTTTCTCATATGAAAGGACAAAAAAATAGCAGTGTCTGATACATTAATGGCTGGATTGGTTTGTAGACACAGAAGGGCAAGGGACAGACTGTTTTTTATGTTTTTTTTATTGCAAAATTTTGCCAAAAGTTATAGTGTTTTTCTGCAGAAAATACATCAGCTCCCTCCAGTCTTTCATGATCCTAATGCAATGTGCTTGCATTACCTTCAGCTTAGGTCAGGTCTCATGTCTCCAACTAGAGCTGTCAGTTCCCTTCCAGTCTTGGTAATTTGTTACTGTTAGCTGAAATAAAATGCCATATCTGGCAGCCCTATAGGATTTATTTACCCCCTCCCATTTCCCAATCTCTACATACTTGTCTCATCTATATATTCTCAACATCCATTTAAAGCAAGCCCACTACTGGGCTGGGCTTACCCAGCTTGTTATATTTTCTTCCCTTCACCCCTCAGTTTTCGTCTATGAGAAAGATGACGTTTTGCCTGAGTGAGATGGCCAAAAGGGAGGGCTTTACTGATGCTCTCTGCTTTTATGACATCCAGTCTCCCAGAGGTTGGCCAGCATTATCATTATTCTCTGAATCCCCTTAGGAGTTACAGATAAAGTCATGGATGTTCAACATGTTGCAGATGGGTTGCGTGTGGGGGGGCCAATGAACCGGTGGCCTAACACCAGCCAGGGTTACTCATTCCACACATGGCTTCGTTTGGATGAAGTTTATCTTCCCAAGGAGCAAGATGGCCCTGTCCGCAGGCAGCTCTTTGTGTCAGCATCTCATTTCATCATCACATTCCACTTGCCTTTTCAACCTGATTCTTATGAATCACTCTCATCCCTATGATTAGAAATACAGTTTCAGGAGATACTTGGAAATAGAGAGCATTAAGTCTATCACCCAGAGAAATGGATGTGTATTTTTTGCTTTGGAAATAGGGAAAGTTCTTTAGTTTCTTTATGGTCCCTTTTTGTGTCTCCATTTAGTCTGTGCACGATAGCAGGACCCCTGTTGCAGTTATGGGTCACCCGAGATGGGATCCTGGGCATAGTGGTTTATCAAAAGAAGGAGCTTCACTTTGCACACCTCTCTGACTTCCCATTGAATGATGGACGGTGGCACTGTCTTGCCATCTCTCATGCCTTGCCTCGCCGCCCCTTTGGCCACAGTCAGCTTGCTGTTTTCATTGATGGGACACTCCGCCTGGAATGCCAGCTGAAAGCTCCAGCCCTTGCTGGCGAGGTCAGTAATTCACTCAGAAATTTGCAGAAAGTAGATATGTATTAAGAGATGAATTTGGCACTTGCCAGTCATTAATGTGAACTAAGTTAACATTTGGTATCATTTGTATGTGGTGAAATCAAAAAGTTTCAATAGTAGTCCAATGAAACAAAAAATAATTTGTGCAACTCTAATTTGCATCATTCACTTGTCAACATTGTCCCCCTGCTTCTCTGTGCAAGACTGCCATCTTTTCACCACAAGTGATGAAAAGATGGTACCTAGCACTGAGCAAGCATATTTTTGGGTATGTCAGAAGCAGTCTAATTGCATTCTTCAGAGCACTTGAACCCTTTCCCTGGTGTCAGCATACTTTTATGTCAACATCCTCGAAATGTTTGGATATCCCTGCCAGGGAAAGGGTTAAGAGGGATAGTGGTGCCTACAAAGGAAGTTTTTGTGTTCTCCAAACAACCAGAAATTGCTGAGGGGAAGATCTGGAGAGAAAGGGGGATGTTCAATCTTTTTTTTTTTTTTTAGGAGGAAGTCACTAACAACTTGAGCTTGGTGAAATGTGCCATTGAATAATGTACTTTGAATCATGCCATTTTGGCAATGTACTAAACACAAGACACTTTACTACCTGGGAAAGAAGAAATGAATGGTTAGATTTCCTTGATTCCACTGCATGTAGTTGGAATGTTGACATTTCTATGGAAGGTGCATATTTTGTGTTCCAAATATTTAGAGTACTTCATTGCAACTATGGAAGCTTTGACTGCACCTCCTATTATTCCTTCTGTTGCCTATCAATCAAATATATATTTTTAACAATCCAACTTAATGTATGGGTAGTTCCATTTCAAATCAGGCAGCGGCCTGTCAGGTCATAGTCTCCTATCTATTCCAAAAAAATATATGTGGTCTTGCCATCCATGTGATGACATATGGTTGCTTATTTACCTCTGTATTTGCAAAAGTTTAAAAGAAAAAAATTCGTTAGTGGAGGGCTCTAAAAAGGACGACTTGCCAAATTGCTGTTTTCCCCAACTTTCAATTTGCTGTATCTCCTAAACTAATTTACATAAATTTCTGACAATAATTTATCACTTACTTGAAAATATGTACTGCATTTACATATGAAAATAAGCCTGGTTATTATTTTATAAATATGTATTTTTAAATTTTAAAAATCAATGAAACTACTGAATTTGTCTGTTATCTGTCTGGATATTATTTTCGTCATATAAATGTGTATCCCATCTTGAATCAAATACATTTTCCCAAACTACATACAGTCATGTATCTTTTGGTGTCATTAGGAATTTATATCATTCATACCTAAATTGATATTAATTGACAGCTTTTGTCATTTTCCCAAAAATGGCTGAAAAATATAAATTTTTTCTCAGAAACCCTATCATTGATTTTTTTCATTTTTTTCACATTGATACTAGAAGGCACGGGCTACTGCATGGTATAAAAATATTCTATTCCTTTTTGTGCCTAATTACATAGTTATTGATTTTTAAACATGCAAGGAAAATGCACTTGTGACATCCAAAGCAGCTTTATTCATGGCATCAAGTGTGTAGGTCTACCTAGATGGGGGAGGGGGGGGGGGGGGGCATCTTTGATTGAATCTCATCCTCAGAATTCAGCTGTCCACTTTTTTACAGTGCTGTAGGAAGTTGAATATTTTGCAGGCACATATGAATATCCTATGACAACAAACCTCCTTTGCTAAAAACTTGAATCTGGATCATTGCTCAAATCTTTTAAAATCATTGAAACTTCAATATTATGACAAAATGACAAAAAGCTACTTATCCATCAGAATAGCTATAAACTTTCAGTTTCACAATGAAACAGTGCATTAGTGAGACTTGTAACATACACTGCTGTATTTGAAAAACTGATGCTCTACATTGATCAGGTTGAGAACTTAATAGGTTACCCACATAAGTCCCACCTTGTATGTAGAACATTCTGCAACACTGCAGAGCTTCTCAACATAAATAATTCTGTTTTAAGCTGTTGGTAGAAATGTCCAGGGATATCTTCATTGACCAACAGCTGTAAATATCTGATGATAGAAATGATTATCTGGGAGGTAAATTTTATGATTTTATGATGGGAAAAAGTGAATAATGAACCTGAATTGGTTCTTCTTCAGAAGTTTTTGATGGAGAATGCTTTGCCCTTGAGTAATTATCCTGACAGGTATATAATCACCATCCATCTTTGGAAAAGCCCCTACTCTAGCAATAAGATCCAATCCAATCCCTTCGCTGAGGGTGAGAGGGAAATGGATTGTCAAAGGTGATGCAAAGCATATATGTGCAATCTGTGGGTATATTATTAGTATTATTATTTTTTAAATCTGAGCCTCATATGATGGTAGGTATCCAAATGACATGAAGTTCATATACTGTGAAATTTTTAAATTGTCTGTTTTGTTATTCAGTCCCTGCTGGAAGTGACATTTGGCTGTGGTCCTTCATACACGATCCCTGAGTCAGAGACAGGGATACCATCTCAGAGGCAAAAGGGATTAGGCCATTCCCTGATTGGAGGCCTCATTTCTGCTGGGACTACCTATCTATCCCTACCTATCAGCCTCACCTCAGGACGCAACCCTAACCTAAATCAGCCTGACCCTCATGTGAGAAAGATGTTTAAACATCTGTTCCTTTTCTTTACATTTATGGGGTTGGGATGAGGAGAGTTGCTTCTTTAGGGCATGTATGCATGATGTCTCAGAGCAGGAGACACTGCCCCTGTGCCATGCTGGAGTACAGGAAAGCTAGGTTTGCAATTGCAACAGTGGCATTGTACTTAGCAAATGGTGAATATATATATTCGTGTCTGAGCAAGTAATTCTACTCTTGGTAAGGTAGTTCCCTTAGTCTTTGAGAGTAATGAACCTGTAGAAATTATGACATAGGCTATTTTACCAATGGGTTTACATGTATGGCATCTGTGTAGACCTAGTGTAACACCTCTAGCAGACGACGTCCTGTCGGGGTTTTCATATGAGCTGATGCCGCAAGGGTCAGAGGGTGCATTCCAGTGTTGTAGGCTGAATGTCACTCCTTTTGAATAGGTTTGCACGT